TTAGATTTCCTCTAGAGAAAAGCAGCCCGCCTAGGAAATATCCTTACCAACAAAACCATGGCAAGCATATATTCTCTGTGTTGCTTTTAATTGTTTTAGATGTCTCTTCACAGCTGTGCAATTGGTTTAGACTGTTAATATTTTAAAGGTTAAGATCAATGAAAAACAGGATATTTCATTAGGAGTCACCATAAAAATGATAAACTAATATTTTATAACTATATTAGTCACAAATTACTAGGCAATTTTTCTCACTATTTTTCCAGCTTTCCATGGAACAGCTGTGGAAGCAACAATCAGAATCTCACAAACCTACATATGAATCATTCTGGCCCTTTTCCTATGGGAGAAAGAATGCTTTTATTTCTGAGGAAATAAAACCTAATTTATTGAGGGCATGAAGAGCAAAAGGGCTTTTAAAGCATAATTTATCATGTTTGTTAATTGTTGCATGCTTCAGTCTACAAGGGCTGAGTGTATTGTTCTGCTTTTAAAAGAAGGCTCATAATAGCTGATCGTTTTAAAAAAAACACAAAAAAACCAGGGACATCAGGCATTCATAGGTATGTTTTAATACCCATCAAGTATTCTATAGCTGCAAGTTTAATTAAAAACAAAAACCTGCTTATTTAAAACAAGGGTTTACAACTCAACTGTAACTTCTAGAAATTGTGAAACTAACATTTTTCCAAGCCACGAAAAGGTGTGGTGGATCATAACGTCTGTAAAAAGGTAAATAAAATAAGAAAGACTTAATTTTAGGAAACTTTCATGAAAATACTTGTTTAGGTCAACTGTAACAACAGGGGGTTTAAAATAATTTTCAATTTTTTACTTTTAAAACATTTTTACTGAGTGAAACACCATTTATTCTTCAGTTGAAATTTGTAACTTCATTGAGCCCTTCATATGGAGAATGTTGAAATAAGATGTTTCTACTTTAAAAAAAAATTATAATTTGGCCAAACCCATTCTTTTCTACAAAATTTATTTCAACACCTCTGTGTTTTGCATCAGAAAACAGCCAGCCCATGGCACCAGAAGTGGGCAGCTACAGGGTTCTGAAGCTGCAAGCTCAAAAGCCTGTAAGATCATAGAATCATAGAATCATAGAACCCCAGGTTGGAAGGGACCTCAAGGATCATCTGGTCCAACCTTTCTAGGCAATGCCGTGATGTGGGAAGTTGTTAAACAGCAAATATACTTGTTAAAAAAGATGGTGCCATTTTGTTTCAAGCCAGATGTCAATTATTAAGCTTGTGTTTAACACTGCACATGTCCTTCTATTTTGTAAAGTGCCTAAGAGAGGAATGCTGTGGGTGTGTCTGGAAAAGCCCCAGGTTCAGACCAGGAGTCCTCTTTGGAAGCAAATCTCCCAGCTGTCCAGGCTGCCTGGGCATGAGTTTGTGTACTGTGCAACAGCCTCAAAATGCACAAACTGGGTTTCTTTAGGGTGACACAAAACTGAAGATGCATTCTAGGAGCGCACATAACATACTCCAACTACAAACAGGCATTCAAGCCATGGGGCAGGGCCAAAGTCAGTCCAGATTTTAAAAACCCCCTGGAATGGTTGTAAGATGTCAGGTCCTCAGCCCCCAATTGCTTCACTGCCGCAATGCTGCTGGTCAATGATCCTTGCGAATATAGACAGAACTTCTATGCCTGTAGATAATCAAAGGTGGACTGACTTTATATATTTTCCTAAGAAATTGCAGGAAGCAGGTTAAAAAAGTCTGACTATTACTGACAGCTGGTTATTTTCTGCAAGAGATGCAATATAAAACTAGTTAACCACCAGCTCCTAGGTGCTGAAAACAAAGATTTCTCTTTTACATTATAGAAAAATAGAACTTAAACCACTATCAAACCAAGTCCTCACTGATCCATCACTTCTCCATTTAGGAATAAGAGTTGACTGGAATTTAGTAGGGTTTATTACTTGCCAGCCTGTCCTCCGATTACAACAGTGGTAACCGCAGTCAGGGAATATTAACAACCCAACCTGAGACAGTGTAAAATCTTTTATATCCCTTACCAAGAGATAAAGATCAGTTACTTACTATCACCCCTGGGTTTTCATGCTGGCATAAAAAGCAGCAGACTGTAAAGCTACCTTTAACAGTAAAGCCATTTAAGAGCTGGAAGTAGGCATTGTCACAGCACTGTTTTAAGAACCAATAAACTAAAAAGATTAAATAAAAATCTGCTATCACCAAAGCTGGTGCACCACCTCAGTGTCTGGAACAGATCTTAGCGATGGCTTGCTTCTACAGCAAATGCAAGCTGTCTCAGGTGTAAGGCCGAGGCAACCTGAACTGTGGCTTCAGTTTCCTTCCACCACAAACTGCTGAGCAATTGCAACGCTGCTTCAGAATGACGGTCACAGATTAATTGCAGCAATTAAAACTCATCAAGGAAATATCGCACCACTTTTCTCTTGTCGTTTCATCTCCGACTTTGTAAGCGATGACAAGAGAACTTAAACAGTCACAAAGCCTAGAGTAATACATATTTATTTGTATCACTCGCTATCCCGTCGATAGCGGATGCTCACGGGAAACACACCCCTGGGCATTAGAAGTCATAGCAGTTTGGCAACAATACCGAGCAAAACCACCCCTCTGGGATCTCACTGACGACACCACCACTTGCCACTGCTGCAATGCCTGTTTCTACAAACAGGTCCTTGCAAGACGATTAAACCCGCTCGTTCGGTCGGTCTGAAAACCAAACCGGGGCACTGCTGCTCCCGCCGGTGCCAGCAGGTGCCGCCGCGGTGCCGCACAGCCCCCGGCCCCGTCGGCTTTGCCCCGGGGGAAGGAACTGCCCGGCACCGGGCAGCTGAGGATGCCGCCACCGGCCTTTCGCCCCACCCAAACCCCAGACCTCATAGCAGCACCTTGCTGGTTTAGCGCTGCCCTTTCAGGTGCATGGAAGATGCTCACTGCCTCTTCCCGCGGGTGCAAGTACAGTTATAACAGATTTACGGCAGGAACACTGGCTGAAGGACTGGGGCGATGTCATGGCACCAACTGCACAGTCCATCATTTCCAGCCAGCACATGGCGAGTGTGAGCAGAGTTCACAGCCCAAAGAGTTCTGAGTGCATCTGCCACTGCACTTCTCCAAATTCACTGATGAGCTTTGCTCTCCTCCTCCTGTAAAGCCAGCCCAAGCTCTGGCATGCACAAACTTCAGCCATCTCCATGGGCTGGCCAGTCGGGGGCAGAACTGCTCAATCGCTTTCCTGGCCAAGACAGCTATGCTTCAAGATTTCCTAGCTCTCTCACTCCTCCTGGTGTGACTCCTGCCAACCCATCATGTCTGCTTTTCCACTGTGGCTTCTTGTATTTTACTCCTGGAGATGACATGAGGCATTAAACAAAACTTAGCAACTCAGTTTTACTTGACTCGGAACTCCCCTCCAAACTCTGCAAATGAAGGTCAGCCCTTTATTTGCTAAGACCCCACCAAGACAGTCACGGGGATCGAGCTGGCAATGGATTTGCGAAAGCGACAGAGTTAGTGTACTCCTACGTGTGACAGAAGCAGCCTTCTTGTCTGCTAAATGAAACATCTGCAGTGCTTACAATCAGGATTTTATTATGCTTAAGAATTTAGTATGGAGAGAAACAATTCAATATCAAGAGACTATACTAGCTGTCAGTAATGTTATCAGTATTACCAACAGCTCTTAAATGAAGCTGCTGCCCAGCAGGGCCAAATGACTAATTATCAGGCCCCAAAGGCAGCTGGTTACTGTTAAAAGCAGTAAGGTGAAGAGCCTGGGTAGCACTACTTCTCTTTGTCCAGCTGCCAAAGCTTTAGTTATTAAGCTCACGCAAATTCCTGGCATCAAAATGAGCTGTGTCTCCCCTCAAGCACTTTCAGAGGTGAAAGTCTGCCTTAAGTTCATAGTTTCCAAATCTTGATACCTGACGCTAGGCTTGATGCTAGGTATGTGTTGTAGATGCCTCCTAAGTCCTGCTATGCTTTTTTAGTGTTCTGCCTTCCTTCACTAGCTCCTATTGAGAATCAAAGTTGGAAACTGGGGAATAAGGGATTGTGTAGCGCTGTATGTTGGGACCCGAATCGTGACCTACAGGATACATCAGCAAGAGTAGACAAGAAGTGAGAACTTGAATAAAGACACTAATGAGAACAGTACTGGGATGGAATAGTATCTTCTTCCTTTTAGTTTTGGGAGACACTTTGCTGAATTTAGAAATAATTTGCCATGGAAGGTAAAGGAAGTCTATTCATTCCTAGTCCTAAAGAGGATACAGACAGTTCTGCCAAACTTATAGCTGCAGGGGACTCTTAAGTCATGGCTTATTACTAGGGGCAAACAAAAATGCTTACACGAACTTTAGTGTTCATGCTCAACACTGTGAAACACTGGAACATAAGCAATTTACTAAAGATAGCCTTAGCCCCTCGGGACATGCAGATGCTTCCCGAGTTTCTTTGCCTTGACGTGGCATGTGATGGCCGCTACTCTATTGCACGTGAAACTCAATCTTTTGCCCCTTTGCCCTTTCCAGAAATGCACTAGAAAGCAAGCTGGTTTCCTCTCAGTTTTTCTTATGTCCCCAGTGTCCTGATGCAAAAAATGGAACTTGGACAAATAACTGGATTGCTCTAAAGATAGGATTCAGGGGGTAACCTTTAATTCAATAAGCAAAGGATACAGAAAGTTTGCAGCTATTTTAGTCTCTAAATTAGAACACTGGCTCTTTTGTGAAGAATCTGAAACATCTGTGCAAATAAACATAGACAGGACAAAACTGTTTCTGCCCCGAAGTTGTCTCCTCCCACAACATCCCATTTTTTGCAGATATAAGAATGCCTTCCCTGTGTGCACACACTCTGGTTAGTCACTCTACATGTGGTAAATGAAGGTGTAACTCCTGGGCTGAAGTAGTATAGAGATGCCACCTCAAGATACATTACCCAAGGAAAAATATGGTATCTGAGAGGATTGTACTTGCTACTCACACTGTGCACACCCAGGGCCTTCCAGATGGCAAAACTGAGCAATCCAACGCCGCACCACGCGTAGAGCGAGCCCCATCCTAGGGCTCGTAAGGCCAGTGATGAACCACTCTCTGGTAATGCAGCTGTGGCAGTAATCCCCTAGAACCAAAGATGAAGTGATCAAGAAAAAGTGAACAGTAATTGGAAAAAAAAAATGACCTAAAAAAGTTAACTCAGGGATCTAGAACTTTTCCTGACTTGCCAGTTGTACTAGTGTGACCACAGAAACTCTTACAGCTGCCAGCAGACCCAAAGGGCCCAGAGGGCGTGGGTGAGCTGCCTTCCCACCAGGAGCAGCTTTCATGGTTGCCAGTACCACCTGGGGATGATTTTTTTGTTACCCAGAAAAGCTGAAGTTACCTGTTTTGTGGGCAGAAGAATCTGACACTCGGTTATCCCACCAGCCAAAATAAAAAACTGAATCAAGACCAGTCACAAGCCCTTATGCCAGTGACATCAGAACATAATCATTGTACATCGCTGATTTTGGTACTTTTCTTGGGGCAACCATTGGCCTACAGGGCTTTAACTGTACTCCTGAAACAGCATATTAGGAAACTGGAGGAACCCGAGTAGCTTTCAGCTTGACACAGAGAGAGAGTAACAGTGACTGAGAGACCATTTTTGAGGCGCTGCAACTCTGAAGGAGCTCTGGGAACTATTTAGGAAAATTTTGCAAAGAGCAAACAAAAATGCTGAACCGATTCCCCTGCAGAGTTCACCAAGTGGCAACATAGAAAATGCTCTGCAGTTTCCATACTTCTCATTTTTGTCAGAAACAAGAGTAGGCAGTTTTAGCTACTTGTGAAAATACTGCTGCGTAAGAGTGTCGTGAAAACACAAACCACTGCCACTTGGAAAAGCCACCTCAGGCCAAGAAGAACAGAGCCTCAGCCATAACGGGGTCCCAACCACAATGAAACCTTCTCTGTCGCAGCGTATAAATGCACATTGCAGCCACCAAGGGCATAAGCCACGCGCTGGCTGACGTCAGTCAACTGGCACTGCACATTCACTGTTAGCCAGCCGTGCTCGTCTCGCAACGCCCACCTTACTGTACCTACTTGGTATAGGACAGCTTCAATCAGTGCAGCCCGCAACAGCAGTAAGACAGAAATAATCCTCTTGCTCGTAGTGGTAAATGTCAGCAAGAGGGTTTGGGTTTTTCTCCCCCCAGAGGATCACTGTTCAATTCTTCCCATGGAAACATAGATTTCAGATGGTAACTGTTAAAGACTGGCATCTACGGTCTTTACACAACTGAACAGTCCTACTTACTTACTTACCGGGTATCTCGGGGAAAAAAAACCAGTTATTGCTCGGAGGTAAACATAAATGAGACTGCAAGAAGTCTAAAAGACTGAAAAGTGAAATTAACTTGTGGAAGGATCCAAAAAATCTTCCTCCAAAACATGCCAAAGAGCTGCACTTTTCTATTCATCACAAAAAGTAGGGAAAAAGATCTTTTGTATTCTTGTTTTAAAAAGACTTCAATTTTTTTTTAGTTTTTTTTTAAAATGGTTCTCTTTCTTCTTTGACATAATTAAACATATGTAGTGTCTGTCACTGTGGTATTTGGTCAGTGAAACAGCGCCAGTAGTTTTTTCTCCTCTTGGCTTTGTCCTTATTGAAATATTAAAATGATCCTCAGACAGTTCTCAGCATTAATGCTTTTCCTAACTATTTAGCTGCAGGCACAGTTACCCAAGGACAAATACACACTTGCAAAGGGCACAAGCAAAATGTATCTTGATCCTTATTTATTCCAATTTGGACATCCCAAAGTGGAAGCTGTTAACAAAACAATGCTCTGTAAGCATACACCTACACACACACAGCCACAAACAGCAGAGACCTCTAGTCACACGGTTATACCAGGTCCTATTATTTCCTTACCAAAGCTAATGAACTTCCATAACTCTTTCAGCAGAGACTGCTTTGAGTAGATGTAAAATGCCAATGATTATTTCTGACGTTTTTCCTGCTTCCATAGCCTAACCATATACAACAACATGCAGAAAAATTTCTCCCATTTGAAAGATGGGAAATGAATGGACAAAAATATCCTCTACAGAGAATCTTTAAATAGGGGTCATTATCTGTGAAAATTGCTGGCAAAACCCCACCGCACTCAAATACTATTTAAATGCTTGATTGTCCCAGAAAAACAGTGGTAAATGGAAACAATTGATTTGGTTTTACTGACAGCAGTCAAACAGCATTCAGTCACAGGCTGATTCCTCAGGGTATTAAGTACACAGATAAGGATTTCCGTAAACAAGACAATTTATTATATGATTATCAGATATGCTGTTCAGAGCATCAAGAAAGCTGATTAATGAAACACTAAAAAATTTTAAAAAGACAACAGTAGCATGGGAGAAAACGACATCATCAACAAAAGAACAATTTTAAGGGAACCAAGTCTTACTCACAAGCCTGTTATTCTATGCACAGATTGTCTTCATTACTGCTCCTATATTTTTTTTAAAGAAGCAACTCTTTAATTTAAAAAATAAGCTATTAAACAATCCTTGAGTCTTTCTAAAAACCAGGCCAGAAAAATATAGAGCAGAATTAGCTGATTTCGTTACCAAAATATATGCTTCATATTTGATTTTTTTTTCTGGAGGATGTAAGCAGGAAGTGAGAGGAGAAATGACATTGTTTTTTTCAGACACAGGCCTCAATCCTGTAACTATCCCCTTGCGGATAAGAGTGTGTCTGAAAGGAAGCATTGCCTAAAATAAATGGTGTGTTCACCTGTTTTGGTTGATTGTATTCAGTGTGTTCACTGTTTTGTATGACCTAACCCACTGTAAAATTAAACACCTGGATAAATGCTGGTAAAACTGGACACTTACCAGAAGGAGGCTGCTGCATCCGAACATTTAATTTTAAACCCCCCCCCCCCCAATCATTTCTTAACTGAAGGTCTCTGCAGTGGTTCAGCACTAAACAGGACTGTATAATCTCAGTTTCAAGACAATTGGGGCGCCAGTCCTACAAATGCTTACATTTACTTTACTTCACTACCATGGAGGAGCTACAGTAGGTGCAATTTCAGCTTTATCTCTTGCCAGTAATGCTGACACTACTCTGCAAGAGTAGGGTCTCATACTGTTGCTTCCTGGAAGTCTGAATGCAGTCATGAAGCCTTGATGCTGTGATGCTACAGCTCCCCCTCTAAATTGCTATTTTTTTCTCCCACAAAACTATTTAAATCTGTCCCAGGCTGCATTATGTTTGCTTCCAGTTTCTACCTGACTTGCACGCTGCCATTTCCCTGACACAAAACATGGCACAAGCCAGCAAAGATGCTGTAAGAATAGGTCTCGCATTTCTTCCCAACACTGAGCACCAATTCTCATTCCTTCGGACCTTCCCTCAAGCTTGTGCCAGCACAGTCACTGCACTCATGCAGTGACGGGGATCAGAAGACTGATTTGGACTAAAAATAACGCAGGAAATGAAAAAAAAAAAATGTTTAAAAAAAAAAAAAGAGAAAGCTTCCTTATTGTAATAGTTTCTGTAGCTTGTGAAATAACTTCTCATGGAGTTTTCTACTTTGTCTGTTTCAAAAATGAAACCTGTGTTTATTGTTGGGGAAAAGGCAATGGATGAGTTATGCCACAGCAGCCTACAGAGGAAAATAGGATGGCAAAGGAAGGATCTCATGCTCTTCAACCACAAAAGGAGATTGTGAGTGATCGGATACGGAGGCTCTGATAGAAAGTGCAATGGAAGAATTTTTCTTCTCTTGATACGCATTGTTATTGAATTAACATTTTAAAAATAAACACAACTGATCAGTTCTCAGCTCCCTGAAAACATCTGTAATAAATGTTGCATTTTAAGGCCTAGGAGGAGATGAGACTGATCAATTTTAAGGGCCTACTTTTGACATTTTCAGCAGTAACGAGGCATTAATGAGTAAAAAAGCGCTCTTCAATTAAATATGCTGTATTTCAGATTAATATGCCAACATGATAAAATTCAATTGTTAGCTTTGCAATTTTTTTTCTTCAGAATGCTCAGGTGGATCCTGTTATGAATTGCACACGATCAGATTATTTTTGGCCATGAGAACTCATAGTACCAAGCCACTACTCACTCTCCTCAGTCCCCTTACACAGTGGGAAGGGAGTGGAGAGCTTAAACTTTGACTAAATGATTCCACTTCCATATTCCACAGCTTACAGGCTTCCTAACTCCTCATTCCCATCCTCACTGCAGTTACCTTGGTTCCCGATTCACTGTAACACTGTGGGACCACACGGTGACCTGGATCGCTGAGGTGATTCGGGCTCATGACTGAAGTATGTTCACATCACAGAATCAAAACAGACCATCAGTTATATTCCATTATATAGCAGCAGTATGATTCCAGCCAACAGCCTAAGCTTTATGTATTTCGACCGATCTCAAGTACTAAAGTATTTAGCAGTGCCAGCTCTAAATTGATTTTTAAATTAACCCACCCCTATTGACTTCAGTTAAGTCTAGTGCTCTTACCATCAACTTTGTACAGCCCAATTCCATGTGTATCAACGTTTCTCTAAAGCATTTGACGCATTCCTATTTCCTGCGTATCACGATTGGAAAATAGTTTAAAAGGAACAAACCTTACTGAACCAGTCTGGGTTCTTCTTTTTTGTCATGGCAAGTGTGGAACCTGCTTTCATCCCTGCTGTAGCAACGGTACCTAGAAAAATTCCACCTGCCAAGGAAGGTTTAAGAAATAAAAATCAAGATTTTATTTCTTAAGGGAAGAAAAAAACCAAACCACACCACAAAAGCAAACCTGCTCTGAAAATAAAATCTGAAAAATGAAGATCTGTCAGCACACGCTGAAGGGAAAGGCACAGTTGTGTACATTATCTGTATTAACTCAATATGGCAAGAAAGCAAGAAAGAGTATTTTGAAATAGAGCATTTTGAAAATTAATGGCAAGTGTGCATATTTTCAAGCCACACACACACAAAATCATTAAGACCCAGGATGGCTTTTCACAGGACTTCGAAATCTCTCTCTCATTCCAGAACCAGGCCACTAAAATCGTCTTGTTCTATGGCTCTGCCTCACCCTTCCCCAAGAGGAAGATGTAATTATTTTTGTTGCATCACTTGTGATTTCAAATGGCCATCTGAAAATCCACCAGTACCTCCGAAGACCATTCCGTAAGCCACACTTGTTCGTCGGCTTTCTTTATGTTCTAACGCTCTATTTAAAACAAGAAAATGACACTAGCGGGAAGCTTTCCCAAGACAGAAAGCATTCCTCACTTTTCAGTTTATTCAGAGCGTTTCCAAACTCACTCGGGGACACTTGATCCCTTCTTGCATCAAAGGCAGATGTAGCTATACCCGCCCACTTTTAAGAAAAAGGCTTGTTACAAAGACTGAGTGCACTGTACAAACACATCTGATTCGTATTAAAATTAAAAAAAATTCAGGGGGTTACAAGTTCTTCCTTTGCAACTATCGATAGATACCCAGCCTGTTTTCCCTTTCCTAATACCAGTTCAGTAATTAAAAAATTGGCCTGAATAGGAAGTAAGAAGCAAAACATGTTTACATTAGGTCTCACTTTTAAAAAATTAATTATCCTGTTATTGTCACGGAGAGGTTTGCTGTGCTCACGTCAATGAAATCTATAAAGCACCTCTTCTGCCTGGGAGCAGGAAGGCCTCACGTGCCGTCCGAACTTGGCTTGCCCACTGCATTTTACACTTCAAGGTCTACTAACCAGCATTTCCCCGATTTTAGAAATAATAACCGGTCTCAAATTAACTTCTCCTCAAAGAGGAGGCGCTCGATGCACGGCCTCCATGGGAGGGGCAGGAAAGCACCTGGCCACAGGGAACGGTGCCCCCGCACTAGCACGGGCATGGAGACGCTATTCCCTGCTGTCCGGAGCGGGGTACCGCCGCCCGGTGGGGGGCTGCCC